CCTAAAACGCCTCGTTTAAACACACCCCCACATGTCTACGTCACTGTGGGTAGATTTGCATAACACCGCCCAAATGTTCACGCAAAGAAGGCATAGCTTGGATTCTCGCCGTAGTATTGTTGCTGCCGCCGCCGCCATGTCGTGGAGATGCTGTGTGTTTCGTTGTGAAAGTGAAACTACTTTGTTTGGTCTTCCAAAAGAGGACACAACTAGAAATCAGTGGTTAAGTTGTATTTACAACACTGTTCCAGAACAGTTCAACCCAAATATTCAGATGTGTGCAGCGCATTTTACGGCAAAGGACAGTTTCCTGAACCTGGGAGAGTAGCCTACAAAAGGTTGTTTCTATAAAGTGGGGCAATTCCAACTTTGCAAGGACAGTCTGGCGCTTCTGACTCACATCCTGTAAAGAATTTGCTACTGACGATTCAAACGCACTGGATAGCTGGCCAATCAGCGTACCCCTCGCTTTTTGAATGATGAGTTTTGTAAAAATCGACACGTTTCAGAAAGGCGGAGCATAGAGGAGCAACAATAATGTACATTATGTGGAAAATGGTGTTTTTTTTAGCAATGTCATATGACCCCTTTAATTTTATCATTATTATATCAAATCTATGACGCTTATTGCCTTCTCACTACATCTAAAACAGTGTGTCCACAGAGAAGGTTTCCATCATTCACATGCTATAAAATGGAGAAAAATGTTTTTAAATGATGAAAAATAGCTTGTTTTATCAAAAGCAACACTTAATAAATGATCTCATATCAAAACAAGGTTGTTTTGTGGGGGCTGCATTTCAGTGACATATGCATGTTTCATAAGGTTTTTAAAGTTGTGTCCCCACTTTTTGTCAACACTGTCAGACATTCATTAAAATGTAAAAAATAAAATAAAAATCAGGGTACATCAGGGGCAGCTGTCACTTTAAACGACCCCCTTGCCACATTGCACCTCTGCAGAGTACATCAGTGTCAGACAGGCTCTGGTCAGTTTTATCTGGTCTTATTTTAGAACATTTTAAATCCTAATGTTAATATTTCCTGTGTCACAACCATTATATGTCAACACCTTCTTCCAATTTTTCTTTGAAAATATTTCTTTGAAATATTTAGATAAATGTTATTCTCCTTAAGCAGGTTCTATTAGCATCTAGCATCTACAAAAAAAAAATACATGTACTCCATTTTTTTTGTGAAAGAAATGCAAAACTTGTCAACACCGTCAGTTCACGTGCTCACCCTTACATCTAATCTGATAGCAAATAGTAAGCATATTTTGGTGTGCTGTCCTGGGGGAGGGCTCCGAGCCCGGAATATAGCCCGAACCCAGAGAACTCCCCCTATCCCTAATATGGGATGAAAATTAGGAGTGAGGAGTTGGGGTGGAGGAGGGTTGCCGGAAAACTGTTGCAGGACAGAGATAGGTACGCTGCATATATATA